TACGAATGAGTCTTCTGGAAAAATTTCATCTCGTTAATACGTCGGTCGGTTCGTTAGGAGGTAAACTGCCGTGACTCGTTAGAAGATTTTTGCGGCCACGAGAGGCATTTGATTCGATCGTTTCACCTGGCGATTCGGCGTGACACTTGTTCTCGTTGATTTGCACCTGTGACCCACGATGCGATCTTATGTATCTTCGATGTAGGAACGTGTAGGACTTATTAGAATGATAAAAGCTGTATTGAGTAAAAAGTGTATAGAAGGAATAGAAGAGTTTGACCCCCGAAATAATTATTAGTTCATGAGTATTTACCGTCATACACGATTATTCATTAAAATGTATTCATTCACGTATGTGCACGGAATTTTTGCACGGCTGGAAATTTGATTTTATCGTCGTAACAACGAGCGCTTTGAGAACAAAAGCGAGAACAAAAGTGAGAAAGCGTGGAACGAGCGAATTGGAGGCGTAAACACGCGCTCTATCGCCGATATTGTAACCAATTTCGCGTTACCGTGACACAACATTTATTCGGCCATAAACCGTACCACACGGACATATTTGTCGGGTTCACGATCGAAACCGGAGTTCCCTGTCGGTTAAATGAAACCATGGATGATCAAAGAAGAACACCAGAGGGTTCGATCGCGTGGAATGCATCGCAAATGGAACACAAATCCGCGGAATCGCCACCTTTCACACGGAGGCCTTGTTTTCTCCACGGGGCGTGCTCGTCAAAGGAAATTTCCTTGATTTAATTAAATTTATCGGATCTTGATAACACGTGTTACCTCTTCTACAACGCGCGCCTCTTTCAGTTTCCTCCTTTTATTCACTCTCGAGGCGATGCGACAAAGATGCCTCTTTGCGTTCGTGCTCGAAAGAAAAAAGAAAACGGGCGTATTTCTACGACGAAAGAGGTTCCATTAATATCTATTAGCAAGCCGTGCTCGACGTCAGTTGGATTCGTTCTTTCGTCTTTCTTCGACCAATCCCCTCCTATGGTAGTTTCCTATCGGTTCGAGAAGAGCCGGAGGTAAAAAAGGTTTCACGAGAACGAAGGGATTCGGATGTAGCCTGAAATATAAGGAGTGATTCATTTCATCTATTGCTTTATAAATTCTAGACTTTCTCGTCGCTGAGTTTCAAAACAAAATCAATTCAAGAAAATTTAAGCTAACAATATCAGAACTGTGCGTTCAATTACTTATTGCAACACCTGATAGAATATTCGAAGGCCACGAATAATTCGAAGCGTAGAAGTACATATTATGAATTCCGTTTCACATTACCGTAGCACAGGGGGCTCGATCTGAAACAGTAATCAACGTTTTAGTGGATCCAATTACCCACCTTTCTATCGAACATTGTTCTCCATGTTATGAAACTTGAAGCAGCTTGGAACAACGTATACCTGAACGTTATATATCCCGCTAATCGATGACGGTATAATGACTGGACTTTTTTGTACACCCCATGCCCCGTGGCACGGTAAACGTAACGCATTTGCTTCGTCGATCAAGTCTATTTGTCTTTGACAGGGCGAACGGGTTGGCCGCACGTGCGTGCAATTCAGCGCGACGAAGGCCTGCGCGATACTATTCGCTTCGACGCTGCCCCCTCCACCTCTCGTTTCAGAAAAAATGCCTCGAAAACTCGTGAAACGCGTTCCGGATTGAAGAGGGCGGCACGGTAATTAGTCCGACGTTGAACACACACGTGTTTCGCCATGATGAAACAATCGTAGCCTTTTCCACGGGCTTTTGCCACGCCGTTTCGCGGCCGTTTCAATGGGCAACGGCTCGAATTCCTTTTTACTTGAACTGTCCAGGGGAGAACGCGCGCGCGCGTTGCCGAAAAAATTGTCCATGTGGGAGGCAATGGAACCAACCTCTGCCGGTGACATCAAATTACATTCTGTTTCGTATAGAGTATAGAGTATAGAATATCGACATCCCGCGTGAATACACATTGTTGCGGGCTCGTCGAATGAGAATCTGCCTGAACCGACGGAGACCGTTTCTGAGCAGTCGGCTGTTTCCAGGTTTTCGATATTTCACTGGAAGCAGGCTCGAAAGTCTGTGGAATAATTTACACGTTCATATCTCCCTCTCTTTTTTTTTTTTTTATGTATTTGTGTTGGTGAAATCCTTTGGGAAATATCAATAACATGGTAAATGTTCTGTTTGTTGTTGGAGAAAGAGGAAAAAAAACCCGGAATAGAGAAGGGAATGAAATTAATTAACAGGGGCACTTAGAGAGTAGAGTTACATTTCATAGTTGTATTTCGAAACTTGAATTTTATATCAGTAAATTTTTTGAATCATCAATTTGGTATTCATTTCTAAGGAATCATGTCGCGTCAATCGGAGAGAATATTTCGAGCTTGGAGCATAAAACACTGTTATCCAACAAGCAGTAGATTATTCATTGTCTGACATTAGAGAGGTGTTTATTTCTCCAGTATTGCAACAATTCATTATTATACTGTCATAGAGACAATTTGTTGAAACATATATTGTAATTAATAGAATCGGTGATTCCATAACTCAAAATAAGAGCAGAAATTTTAGAATTTTTCGTCGAAATTTAATGTTTCCCGTTAATAGGAAATGTCTGTTTCGTTCAGTTCGTCGCGACGAAATAAAACGAGCAAGCTGATCGGAGGGAGAGAACTATTTCGATCACTATGCAGATGACTAATCGGAAATCGACGGAAGTTTAACCGGAGTATTACTCGTCCCTCTTCATCTCCCTGGCTCCATACCGCGGGTTATATGCTCTTTCAATTTTCAAACGTCACTTCTTTGACGTTTCCTGCTAGTTCTAGCGTGAATTCGATCGCAGATGATATTACGCCGACGTCGCGTCGACTCGCGCATAAAACCCGGCGAAAGTTTTCGGGCTGTCGGTCGAGGGTATTCGGGTTTTCCGCTGAAAAGCTCCTAATTGTTGCTAATTCGTTCTTAATTGCCTACTTTACATTTTCCGGCGACGCGGGGAAAATTACTCACCGAAGAATGCCTTCGGTTCTTTCGGTAGCGAGTTTGAGCAAAGTTAATTCGCGGTCTGGTTTCGCGGGCATTTTTTCGAAACTTTCTCGTTCAATTTCCAGACATTTTCTTCAGCTGATAATTTCAGGGAATCGAATGAATCTGTGATGATTAACTAACAGTCTGCTCCGGGAGGAACAGACTCCACTTTTGAACGAAAAGCATTCGTGGTTTCGTCAAAGTAAAAATAAAAATAAAATAGTAGAAATTCTACTAGCTCGTTCTTTTCGTCTGAAATTACCACTCTGGACTGCGAACTTTATGCATTTATATCTTATGTAAAAATAGTGACAAAATTCGCTAAGTTCAATAGACTAATTTTCCCTTTAGTCTAATGAAACCTTTAGCAAGGAACATGGATTATTGTTTCATTTTCATCATTCTTTTGCATAAATATACGTAGTCTAATTACAGTGTATTTAAGGATAGGATTCAAGAAGTGAATGAACAACAATTAATTCCTTATTGGTACGTAGTAAATCTAGTCAGAAGTGAAGTGCAGAAAATTGAAAAAATTTTGAAATCCACGTCAAGTTTAAATCTTTGGTAGTCTCTTCTGCCACTAAGAATTTCAATATGGTACAGACGTTCGGTCTGATCAAGAGAATCCACGACAAAATGTTCATCTTATCAGAATAGTAAGAATCGAACGCGAGGTCACATGTGTCACGGGTAATGGTCGATTTCCAACCAAAATATGACAGTTTTAGTGCGAACATTAATATCTTCAACGTAACGAGCGTCTTTATTTTTGAACGTTGGCGTATCCCTGGCTGGCGACCCGCTTCCAAGAAGATCTCGCGGCTCCCAATTTCGCGAGTTTGCCTATCGCGCGGTTGCATCTCTTAAACTTATTTAAGTTTCGCCATATTTTATCTGGAGGACAGACGATACTTCGGAGAATACGGGGGGACGAACCGGCTGAAATGAAATCGTACGGCTATACCTGCACTATCACGCTCCGGTCTCAACCCCGTCCGCCTACAGTCGAAATACCCCGTGTAATCCACCGAAGTGTCTTGGCTTCGTGAATCTCGAAAACTGTTTAAAGAATGATAAAAACAACGGACGGGAAATAAAATTCGTATTTATAGAGTTGTCCCGATCCTCGATTCCATTCTTGCGGACTGATACCGAACACAAGGAAGACAGGGAGAAAATTTAATGTTCCCCCGGGAGTTTCCTATTTTTCAGAAATTTCGGGCGTATGCAGTCTTCTTTGAAAGTCTAACTACATTCTACCTTTTGTTCGATACGTGGAACCTTTTACCTTTTGTACGCTCTGAAATTGAATATATCATAAATTTCTTCGTTGCAATAGAAGTTCGAAATATCTTTTAGTAGAAAGCGCGCGGACGTCCTGATTCTTGATTTATGCTTTATGTACAGGTAGTAGGATTTATCGTCGTTTCAATTACTGTCGATTTTGCTCTTCTAATCGAAAAAGCAAAAAGTAGAAATGTGTTTTTTTCTTTTCTTAGTGAGTGCTAGTTTGGCTGATTTATCGGTGAGTTGCTTTCGTCGCCGGTAGCACGATATCGATTTATCTGCTCTTTTCACGTTTTTTTTTCTCTCTTTCTGCCCCCTCCTCCTGTTATCCTTGTGGATCATACCAGCAGGCGTTCTCGATCAGCGTTTATCCTCGCTGCACAGCCTTGGTCGCGACCTAACTGCCCTCTATGTGTACGATTCGTTCGTTTTTCCTTTCCCTTTCGATTGCCCCTGTAACGGGGACGACATCGTATGACAGACCCTCGTCACTTCCTCCTGTCACAGAGTAGCAGCGTGACCGACCTTTTGAATGTTTGTCAGTCCGAAATTCTCGGGGCACCAGGACGCTGTTTCGTTGGAAAATTTGTCACGCTCGTTCCATCGGAGATGGTATACGTTGCACGCTCAAATTTATGTATATGTTTCACGCTCGTTGTTTTCTCTCTCTGTTATAGATTCCACGGTGCCGGTGGGTCTTTGTCTGCTGATCGAGAAAGGACTGTCGGTGGTGAGTAATCTCCCTTCAATAATCCTCTGCACGGAAATTCCACGTTTTAATGGAACGTAGTAATATTAACGGCTGTGACGATCGATGACAGTGGAGTTGATGTGAGTGCCAACTGTTTGTGGCCTGTGACGCGACACTAGGCGTCACGAGAGTGTCTACTGGTCTTTTACAGGGATTCATTGTTATTGAATTTTTGTCTGACATACGAGGGGTGTTTCCAACGTTCTGGGAATAGTGTCATAAACTGTTCATTTTATTAATTTTATTAATTTTCGTCCATGTTACATTGTAATTTTTCAGTACAATTTATAGGCAGATTCTAGGCATATTGGTTTATGGTAGCATTTTATTATAATATATGTATGTGATATTACAAAGTACCGTCAGGAAATAAGGGGTTAAAAAACAAATTATCACGGATATCGGGGTTAAAATCCAGTCGAATCGGTAGTTTACCCACAAGTTTCGGCGCATTATCGCGGGATATATTTCGTTTTTTCGTTCGAGCTGAGCTGGAATACAGACGTACAAAAAGTAAATCGAGTAAACAGCTCACAATGTGGACCAACGTGGGTATGGGTTGTCGAGGTGTTGAAGTTGGAAAAATATTTTTCACCCTTTGCGTCAGGTTATTTCGTCGTTGTTGTTGTTGTCGTCGTCGTCGTCGTCGTCGTCGTCGTTCTGTTGTTTCTTTGCAAGAAGAGCCCGGGTAAACTAAACTAATAATAATATCCCGAGCACATGGCGTCGCGGACACGGCGGAAACTTTTACATGACCGCGGGCAAAAATGGTAAACCAGGACCAGAGAGGACGATGTGGTGGGTGGGTTAGGTTAGTGTCGTTACGTTCGTGTCGTATATGGGTCTTTGGTACGGTGCTCCCGATTCGGAAGCGACTTTTACATCGAGAGTATCACCTCGATTATCGATTCCGTGTCCCAACGTCTCGATCTGATTCAACGCAAAACGTTAATGTGCTAACCGTCCCCTTCTTTATTCCCTGTAGAAGAAAAAAAGCCCAACAATTTCTCTTGGAACCGGGCGATAATCGTCACGATGGATTTTCCCAGTAGAAACTCGATTTCTAATTTCTGCTGTTGCGAGAGACGTGTGATGCTCGGGCTCGTACAGTCGTGAACATAAAGAGGGAAGCGCGAAGTCAGCAGCCGTGTGTTCCTGCTTCACGTTTTTCGAATTAGATTCCCTCTACTGTTGCTGGGGGTATACGTTTATTGCGTTAGGATGTGGAAATATTGGCTTCTGCAGGCGTCTCTTTATAATTCTGAACTATTTTCACCTTTCTGTGCACTGTGAGGAATTCGTTGAAGTATTGTTTTATCGACTGGAGATAGAAATAACGTTTCCCGTGTATGTTCAAGGATTATTGAACAGTGATAGAAATAGGTGTATTTCAGTTACATATCAGTTATTGGGTTCAATAATTATTCTAGATGTGTAGCAAAATAGGTAATATTAACTGGAGCAAACGTTAGACCGACTTAAACAAAATGAAGAAAACATTAGACCGTTTAAAAAAAGAAGGTAATAGTTTACGTATAATAATAAATTCACTATTATTTTTTCAGAGATTAACAGCCTATGCTGTTTCGGTGATGACCTCTGCCATATTGAAAAGTGAAAAGCACGGGAATATGTCTTGCATTTAGATCAGAGTTGGGCACGATTTTATCCGAATAATACATAGTGAAAACCAACAGTATCTGAGATAAAATAAATGTTTGCCAAGTGTTTACACGTTCAAACAGAATGTATTATTATAAGAATTGGAATTACCACGTTTAATCAATGAATAATGGCGAAGTACTATTTTTATCTTTTGTTCGTTACTCGAAATTCTTTATTTAAATCATCAATTCGCCCATCTGCGATTTAAATGATATGACCATTTTATTTAAAATACATGTAAAAGTAACAGAATGAAACAGGTTTTTTGTACCAGCTCAGGGTCGTCCAGGTGTAAAAATATCAATCTATACGAACGTTTACGGCTCGTAAACCCGGATAATCAAGCGCCCACGAGCAAAACAATTTGGTTCGGGTCACGTAACGAACAAGATCGACAATGATATTTCGCCTCGGGCAAAGGAGTGGTCTCCGTGCCCGTACACGGGCGTATGAACATTAATTCCGAGCCAATAATAGCGAGTTTAACATCGAATCTAGGGGGTTCTTTCGTTATCGTGCTGCCATAAAGATGGTCTAGCCGGCCGATGAAACGCGGCACCCTGGGTTTGATGATCGACGTAGCGTGACGATCGCGTTGCAAAGCCCGACCGACGCTTCTCTACGTCGACGGGAATTAGCGATGCTCTGGCTAACGTCTATATACGTTGTATCGTCTATTCCCCCTCGGCGGCGACGCAAATACACGTCTGCTGCCGTGCACCGCGGTATCGTGTCAGCGTAAACATTCCGCCACCGCTGACTCCGTACCGCGGGGACACCGCGCGTGCATCGATCAGCGCCACAGAGATTCTCTGTGACTTGACGTTACGCGATCCTATGGAAATCCTATGGAAAATTGGTCTCCAGGCACTTTTCTCCGTGATTGCCACGACTTCGAGTACCGAAATTTCGACCGGGAGACGTTTAACTTTGACTTTCCATAGAAAATAATCTATTTGTGTTGTTCATTTTTATATTTTAATCTTGTTATCAATATTGATCCGTCAAAATGACGGATTGAAAATTTCTTATTTTACGATGATTGGAATTATAATGGTAAGTTGTACTGTAGATTGTTACTGTATTTTACAGTTTAATTTAGTACACATTCAATGTTAATTCTAGTTGTTAAAAATCGAGTGGGTCAGAACGTATTCGCGGATCGTGGTATAGCACGTGCCAGTAAATTCTCGAGACACCGGTTTGGAGTCTCCCTGTACCATCGAGTTTGTGTTATGTACCGAGCAGCGGCGGTTTAATTAAATTTTCTGGTATAAAATCGACGGGACGGGGGTATGTATGAGCCGCTCGCGAGCGATATATTTTAACGTGTAATTAGTATGTCGCGCGGAGTCAGCGGTCGAAATTACATTCTTCTGGTAACCAATTTGGCCTGGACCGGCTTACAAACAGGACGAGAACACCGCCGGCCTGGTGAACTTGATAATTACCATAGCCTGATTAATCGTGTCCCCCCCTCCCCTCCCTAATCGAGTAATAATTTGGCTAATGACGATCGCATAATAACAATGTTTTACGCATATGTATGTATATCCACTGGTACACGAATAATCATCGGGTTATAAATAATGCATGATAAATTAATCCGTGAAAACCTAACTGTAGTGCGATTTTCAATTCTCGATGCATCTCGTATCAATTTCCGGCGAATCCTCTGTAACGGACCGCGCGTATCGCGATAAAATATGAGAGATATCGCCCCTCAGCGATACCAACGACGTCGTTGCTGGATGGGAGGGTGGGTGAAAAAAAAATCACAAACGAAAGGAGATTGAAGCGTCGTATTAATTAAAATGCAAATGGCCCCATTTTATTAACGTCGAGAGTGTCGTTGCCGGACGCGTCGTAAGTAATGTCACGGTTTTTACGGTCGAGATATTAGCTCCATGGCTTTTACCCTTCCCCTGATTATTCCGATAAATCAATTTGTCTCGATTAACTTGTCCTGTTAATTCTATCAGCTTGGAATTCTCCATTCCACCTCGAATACCTTTCGTCCGCCTGGTCGTAGCAACGCGATCAAAGGGGAGAAACTATTATGCTCCGATTCCAATTTTGTTCTCGGATCGTTCCAACCCTCTTTTATGTTTCGCCAAGATTAACGGACCTAGAGGTTCAGACACACATTGCTTGCAACGTAGCGCAGTCGCGTGAATGTTTCAGTTGTGCAATTTGCCGGACCTCGCTTGAAATTCATGGTATTCTTTCATCCCCCCACCCCTCGTGTAATTGGGTCAAGCGGTTCGTAAATATTTGCATCGGTGTACCGGTCGACGTCGGTTTAGTTGCGGATCGGACGGGGACGCCCTTTCAGTCTCGTCACGCTGCTGATGCAGGACTCGTCAATCGTTCAGTCGAGTCATGAAATTCGAAGGATCCACGGATTCGTGGACGTTGATCGGTGAGGCGGGCTTTGCTGGAACGTCGATTACAACGTAATGAAATGTAAATGACGATGTCGAAATAGTCGAGATGTAAATTGGTTTTACTATTAGGTGTACCAATAAGTATAATTCTGTCAATGATCATGAAAGTGGCCTGAGTCATTTAAATATTTTGCAGAAATGCTTTCATATTATTGTAACGTAGATCGATGTAACACCAAATGAGTGATACATTCAATTTTTTCAGACCTTTGAGTCAGAACCATCGGCACAATTAGTTTCCATATCGTCGCTCTAATTCTTAATTGTTCTATCTCCATTAGTTTCGAATCTGAGAAAATTCAGTTTAAAGTTTATAAAGTTTAATATTATAGACACAGGAAAGTAGTGGAATCATCAAACACACTATAATATCATCTACTGAATAGCTGTTTATTACAATATTTAACACAATTGTATCTTATTATCAACTGAAATTTTTAATCGTTGTTAGTATTTGGGGATACAATCATTCAGAAAGAAAAACTTTCGGAGTTAGGACTTGAAAGAATATTTGTTGTTTTCTAGGTTGAATTTTCTTTATGCCATGGTGAATTTCCATTCTTAGGACCACTGATCCGCACATAGATTGTTTAACTGAATTTTTCTGAAAAATGGAGTTTAGAATTTCAACTTCAATTTTGTTAACAATTTTCTGTTCATTCAAAATAGCGGAGTATGGCGAGACCAAACAAAGAGAGATGTATGAATTATAATGTTTCGAAATGAATAGATACTTCGTTTCATAAAGAATAGGCAGTGAACTCTATCTAATATGTTCTCATATATGTTGAACTGTCAATAGAAAGTCCCAATGTAGTTATAATCCTCTGGTGTATTGTCATACGTCTGTGTACGGATGGATGACAATCGAATGGAACGGCGCGGCGTGCGTTCGTTGTAGCGTGGCTTTGAGATTAATGCAACCGGTCACACGAGCGACGTACCTTGAATTGCAACGGCGTTCTACGTCAGCGGCAACTAATATAAGCTAGAATAGACAACACAGTAGTTTCGGAGAACAGTGGTAGGAGCTTATGGATCAATTTGAATTTAGTTACAGGGAGTGCACTTTAAGTGTTATCGCCGTGTTTACATGTCCATCAGAGGCTGCGAGGGCTCTGGACATGTGTACACAGCTGCTGTCTTTGATACTGTATACCACCGTTATTAGATATACATATGTATGTACTATCTAATACAGGGTGTCTCAGCTAACTTGATCACCTCGAATAATGAGCGAACGGTACACATTATGAAAATTTTTAGGCATTGAACTGAAATTGCATCGAGAGACACATCTTATAAGGTAGGTACCGTATGTGCCTTTTTGGTGGCTGGAAGCATTTAAGAGGTTTCAAGGTCACCTTGATTTTTTTAAACGGAATGATACTTCAATACAGTGATTATTTCGTAAATATCTCGTTAACTATTAGGTTTAGGACGTATGAAGGTCAAATGCCCCTTAATGCCATTTAAGTTCCACGCCTAAAAATTTTTCAGTCATTAACCAGTTAAGCGTGGAATTTAGTTTTAAAAACCCTCCACCGTGTGCGGAATTAAAATCAGGCTATGACGTGTATACACGTCGAACGCAGGGCAAAATGGTCCTATTATAAGTTTTATGAAAAACGAGGAAGAACTTCATTTTTATTTATCATCCCACCACCCCCTCTGTATAAAATACTCAGCAGTTCTATTGGTAATATAAAGGAAACATTCCATCAAATAATATTCTTATTGGATTTCATTAAAATTTAGAGATTTTATAGTCAATGGTAATTTTTTATTTCTCACGACGTGTATACACGTCGAACGCACCGTAATAAAGATTTGGTTCGACGTGTATACACGTCAAACACACTTAACTGGTTAATCGAGGTGATCAAGTCAGCTGAGACACCCTGTATATTAGACTCTGTATGCAAATGTGTGTCAAAATGATCTGTGAGGCTGTCTATAATGCATCTTTAACATTTTAAAGATCAAACAGATGGATCACGGCGTATAAATGTTTATTGGTCGGCCAGGAATCCTATTTTTCACGGAATGAAAAGTACAACGATCGCGTGACTTGGAAGGTACGTCCATCAAAAGCGTTGGATCTGTTGCGCCAACACTTGCGCGACTGTGGTCCAAAGGTTTGCTCGATCCTTGTCGCGGAATTTCCACGGTCCTCTCGTTTGCTTTGAGAATTTCGTGGCTGCGTAAATACTGTATGTGTAATGAACAGCTCTTCCCTACCCCCTTCCTTCGTTTCTTTTTTTCCCACTGTTCAGCATTCCGACCGCGGACAAACGTTAAGCAAAAGCAAACGCCAAGACCGACGCGCACGTGGAAAATATAACGCGACACCGTGCCGCCGCATATTTTACATGAAATGAAAATGTTTCGCCGAGGTTTTGTTTTCTCCTCGTATCGCCTCGCGTTACCATTGGTCGCGGAATCTCGCCGACACACGCGACGCTTCATTAAACCCCCGTTGAACGACGTGTTTAAATAATTAACATAGTACCCCCACCCTCTCCCATTCCAGGCCGCGCGTGTTTAATTTTTTATCGAATTCCGCTCGTCGGATACGCGATATATCCCTTTGCAGGTCTGTTCCCTGCATCGACAAATGGGCGATGATTTAGAACGATAAAACCGGATTACAAGCGTAGAGTAGATGAATGAATTTGATAAAAAAATATTCCATGGTAATAATAATCAATTTTTTTATATCACCGACGAACTCGTGAAGGGTAGCTACCTCTGTCAATAAATGCGCTTTAAGTCTTCTTGATTCTGATGTGATAAGAATAGGCTATGATCCTCCACTCGGTAGTCGTATCACGCTCGTAGCAATATTAATATCGTACAAAGATAGTAAAAACAGTTCTTCCTCTAATTACTTTCCTGTAATAGTATCCCCATTCAAGGTACATATTTTAAGAACAGATGATTCAACATTATGAAATAACAGGTACTGCTGTGCACAAGATCTATCATGAACCGTTTCCATAAACAACGTCCCTGTCTCAACGGAATCGTTCCGCTAGCTCGTCGTGCCTGAACAGGTAACACGAAACTACCTTCAGACATACTACGTGTATACACTAAATAAAAAAGCGATTCACCGAAGAGTTTAAGGGTCACGTTGCAGATAGACCTACGCCTTAATTCGTCCGTGCTTCGCGTATCCGTGACGCGATATTTAAATAACCGACCCTCGTAGCAAGAACCGTTTCTCCATTTTGTATTGAATTTCGCAACAGACACAGCCGGATACGTGGAGGGCGCCTCCACATGGATAATAAACGACTTTCGGTAGTTCCACGGACTGCATTTCAACCTTCGTATTTTGAGAAGCTCAACCGGGTTCTACGGCCTCTCTCCCCCATCCCCCTATGGAAACGGCGGTGCCACGTTTCCCGTTCAACCCCTTCTTCCTTCCACTACCCATGTCCCGTTCATGTTCCACGCGTTCTCTGTAAGCAACTTCCGCCCGTAACTTGTACCTCTCTATTTTGTGCCGCAGGATATCATAGCTCACGGGCCAGGAATGGTGTTCCACGTCGTAAACCTCATCGTGATGGTACTGATGCCGATGGTGGTCATCCACGTGAAGGATTCCGGATTCAGCCTGTGTAAGCGCCATTTTACGTATCATTTCATCCCACCACCGCGGTTCACGTGCCCGGCTGCGATACCGTTTCGCCTCTGAACGGACCGTGGCCGGGGTGAAATATAGGAAAATGGGAACAATGGCTCGCTGTACTGTCTTTCGTGCTTTGGTCCGCGTCCATTCCGAATAGCTGTCTATGGGGTGTTCCTAGGAAGATCAGTTGAAAAGGTTCGTTTTACGGAATAGAATGAAATTACCGATTTTACTGAAGGGTACCTTAACCCCCGTCGATTTCGAATCGCTTTTTATGGAGATTCGTAAGAGGGATTAGAGGGAAGAAGCTTTCTCACATTTTTGGCGAGTTTATTTGTTGGTATCTAACTTAGATTTTACTTGTATTTCAATGAATATCGTACCTATATAGAGTCTCTTTAATCTTAGTTCGCCTAATAAATAAAATTGGACCATATAATACCAACTGCCGGCAATAAAACGAAGTAGATTTCGTAGAACGTAAGATTTCGAAAAAGTAACTAATTAAAAAATGATTCCGAATTCGGTCCACTAAGATCGCAAAAGGTCTGAGCAGAAATTAAGAATGTAGATATGTACGATATATTGAAAAGCTGGATCTGTACGAAGAGTAACGAGAGAGTCTGTTTCATTATGCGAGTTTCGAGCGTCATCCTTTCTCTGCCGTGCAACCCGGTTGACCACCGAGCTGTTTAATTATCGGGACTCTGGCACGAAACCGTTTATTTAATTCTCTGCGGCAAGGAATGCCATTAAAGCGTGACTAATGCTGGCTTTTTCAATTTTTTAATTAACCCGAACTCGGCTGCAGATCGAGTCTGTCGAGGGCGGGAGAGGGTGGAGACTGTTTGCCACGCCAGTCTTTCCGTGTGTTCGGTGCCCTGTTTGCCATTTCGGAATTGCCAATATGCGCTGATTAACGAGATACCGCTGATTTACACTCGTTAGCGAGAATGATCAATTTTCGAGCGATTTTGATTAGTTGTTTCCCACGTGTGTGTGTGTGTCTCACGCAACACCGCGTTTAATTCCTGTTACCCCGTAGAGGGCAATACAGGCGCCGTATAAAAAATTCTATTCAAATGCAATGCGTACGGTGACCCGTGAGACTGGATTGCTAGGACGTCGTCGCGCAATGGTTGTCGAGATTACGTAACGGTTGATCTTTTAGTGACTGGCGACGATTCATTGCGTTTTCAGTTGGTGCGATTGAGAAAAGTTTGAATTACTGAGAATTACTCTTTTAATTAGATCGTTTGGTGATCAATTTTCCATGCACTCAAGTCATTTTGTAATAAGTGAAGTTTAAAGGGTTAATTGAAGAAATCTGGGCGGTCTTAGGGATGTGTTGGGGTTCTATAGAAATTCAATTGTTCGATGTTTATGTAGCCGCAGACACTCAAACAATCAATTAAACTGGTGTGGGGAAACCGAAAAAAAAAAAAACGTTCTCGCGGATCTAATTCTTTCGCGAATCCGAATTAAGAGAGATTTCGTTGGATCGCCTAGGGATCGGTCTCTCTAATTAAAAGATTTCGAATTAAGGCATCTTCGGATATGGACATGTCCCACCGCTTCTGGCTCGGCTGAAAAATTGGTAGACCTGAATTATTAACCAGCTCTATCGACCAGGAAACCACTTTTCGTATTGATTACAATTTAAGGGCACTGTATTGAAAAGTACGACGAAGAATTGATATTCTCAAACGGCTGAAGTAAGGAGTAATTAAGTTTTTGATTCGATACAATTCAGCTAAGTTGAATATTAGTTTCCAGAGATCCTCTGGACTTTCCTGACAACCTCCAGTGTTCCTTGAGGTAAGTTTCTCTATGGAACCAGGAATCTTTTGAATAATGTAGAATTTTTACAAGTAAATGCAGGCTGTCTCATTTAAGTGTAACCCCTTGAATATTTTTGTTTAGTTGTGAAAACGCAACAAATATTTTATACATAATTTGAATGGTATTAAATGGTCAGGTTCCTGCAAGCATTATGTATATATATTATTTACGTTCTCACAATTAAAAAAAATATTCGGTGGATCACCCTGTATAATAGAGTGCCAAAGTGTACGTCCACGTCTATCTTGAAGGTAATGCCAAGTTCATTTGCAAAGTCTTTCCATTGTTTTAAAGGTCATTTTGTAAGTAATTCCTACAATATGTGATATTGTAACCCACATCAGGATTGGTTACACAACCTACGACATTACATTACGACCTTAAATTGAGCTCAAATCACTTCTCGATTCTCGATTGAATCAATCGATACCAGTATTCGTTCCTGGCATGTTGGTCTTGAGTTTCTTGCCATTGATATCGTCGGATAAGCCACCGAATCCCCGAGGTACGTCGACAGGACCGTCTCTTTGAAGTTACGCGGAGATTCTCGCGCCAACTAGTCCGTATATCCGCTCGTGTACACGCCTCTTAAAACTTCTGAAGTCCCCGCGCCGAGTGTGCCGCCTGCAGCCTAAAAGTAGTACGCGAAGTGGTTGGTACCAGGGGGGGTTGCAAAGGCTCAGCCTCCTTTTCTTCGTCGGGTAGGGGGAGGTTTTCCCTCGTTCTTTCTTCGGCTTCTCTCCAACGAGAACCTCGACTCTACAACAAGCGGGGACGACGCGCGGACGCGAGAGTATGCACTCGAAAGCGCAGCCACTCGGCCTGACACCGAGGTTGTCGACGTTCGTTTTTTTTTCTTTCTTTTTTTTTCTTGTACGCGAGTCAGACACGTAAGTCGTCACGGTTGCGTCAAAGGACCATTACCATGAAAGGAAACGGGAACGTCGATCTGCCCTTCTAATTATCGACGGACGGTTCTATCAGACAAGTCCCTCTTTGCGCCCCGCGAAATTACAGAAGCCTCTGTTGCTCGCGTCGTTTACCCTTTTTCCACGATCCGGAAAGACCAGTGGTACCTTTACGGGGATGGTATAAATTTAATGAAACCGCGGCAGAGTCCATTTGTCACCGACTCGTTGGGAATTGCATCAAGTGCAGAGCGATTATTCTTTGTGAGTCGGTGAAATGAGTGCTGCCAATTTGTAGGGTCGCGCAACACTAAATGAACACACCGATTTCATTAACTTTTTATCCGATGAAATGGATCCAGAGAAACGGAGGTAGACTCGTAGCCAGTGTGGATTCGGTTTTATGCCTTCTGTATATTACTTCTCTGCTTGTTCTCGTGGTAGCATATAACAGAATTTTGTAGAACTTTCGAATCTACATAGAGAGAAAGAATTGCTGCGGTGTTTGCTTGTAGTAGTAACATCGAGCAATGGTCAGACGTCGAACAGAGTCAGTTTACAGCAGAATTCTCTTTTTGCTCGATGTCTAACAATTGCTCGATGTTTCTACTTACAGTAAACATTGATGAGAATATACTCTGTGTTCCATCAATTTTAACAGGTTCTATCGGTATAAGTACACATTAAATTACAAGTATCATACTCATTTTTCGAACATTTCAGCGGCAGGTCCGATTCGGATAGTAGATTTTCGACAAGGTATACATATATACATACATAGTAGGATAATAGTGCAGAAAGCGTCTAGTTCCACTCGGCCTCTATTTCCACAGCTTCAGTAATCGGACACCAAATGGAAACGTGACATCGAGCTATCGATCTACCGCGCGAACCCTCACTTTCTCCCTCGTTTCGCTCCACCCCTAGGCTCGTCCCACTGTTTCCCCCCTCGCCCCATTCCCCGCGTTGTCTTTATTCCTTTCGGTTTCCCCGCGGGATTCGCATAGCCGGCAGCCGCAAATGCAATAAAAGGCGTCGAGTGTTTACTCGCTCCGTTAAGTGGCACTCGGTATCATATTGTCGCGGGGACAAGCATTCTCGTTTTCGGGCTGTGCGCACCATTGGAGAACGAGCGCACACGCGGTCGTGACGCACTACCGGTCCGTTGGAATTTTCATGATTTCTTGTTCAATTCTCCGAACAATATGAAGCGTGGACGAAAACAAAAAAATACGTCGCCAGCGGAAGGCTTGTGAAACGCGTGTCGGGAATAAAACGGTCGATAGGCGATTTCATCGGGATTAATTAGGGTGACGAGTGGGCGCGCGTTCTGTGTTCATCCTCATGCACGCACGCACGGGGACGTTTTGAATGTTTCATTATCGTCCCCGGTGCAAAAACGATCTTCGCGCCGGAATAATCGCGTTTCGACCCGGCGAATATCGAGTCTCCGTGTTTTTAATGCGACAGCGGGGACACGATTTAATTGTGATGAATTGTTACCGAAGGGGGAGGGGGATATGGTGGACGTCGAGGGACCAGTTGAATTTTAACAAATTCTGCACGCTTGTGGACGCGTATTCACGCGGTGAGATCAATGATTTCGTAACAACATAAACAGAGCAAGTATTATGGAATATTACGAGTCGATTCTCTGGAATTCACTTTGGTGGTCGATTCTCATTCGGATTCGCTGATGGAGGATCGTGTAGGATCGATGGGAAAAATAACAACGGCTTCTTATTACGTAATATGCATCGGGTAGTTTCGAAACAATTTTACGTTTTATTTCGCACGATTAACAGGGTATTTCGAATACTTTTGCCAGGATACTCATTAATAATTCCGGTCGTGTTCTCGTATGTCAATTAAAATGAAAATACCGTTTTACATTCGAGTCGAACGAGTTCTACGTGGAAGCTTCATTAAAAGCAGAGGGTGGAATCCAGGAATGGGTTGGCCCGTTAGTTCCGCGGGAAACCGCGACATTACCTTGCTCTGGCAGCCCAATAAAATAATCAAAACACCGGGAACGGTCGGTACTACGATCTTCCGTTTCTTCGTCCATGCTCTACAGATCTACAAAGGTCCTCCCTTGTTTGCATAGATTAAGCCCTCCTCGTACTTCCTGTCCTATTCCCCGAAATTGTTTTCCAGAACAAACGGAATGACGTTCGGGTCTTCCTCTCGATTTCCATGTCGCTACCGTTCGCCAAGTGTGCACCTGTCTTATTCATAC